CCCGCTCTTCGCACGCCAGGGTCGGGTGCTCGCCAGCATGTCCTTCATCCCGGTGGCCGAGGATTCCGACTTCCCCATCCACAACCTGCCCTACGGCGTCTTCTCCACCAGAGGCGACGTGAGCAGAGGGGCTTCGGCGGAGTGCAGTGGGGGGCGGGATGGAGGCGTGGGCCATTTTTCTCCTAAGATCCGTTCCCCGAGCGTGCCTGTGGGCTCGAGTCCCGCCCCGTAACTTTCTAGCTGTGCACGTGATGTAACTTTTCGGCCTCAATGCCGCAGGTTTGCTGAGAATTAAATGCAAAATGAAATGAAGCGTGCCACTCTCCCAGACAGCAGAGCAAGCAGGATTCTGTTACCGGAAGCTGCCGCACACAGGCGTGCTGCCTGCGCCAGGGTGGTTGCCGTGTGTTTCTCTCCCCCAAGAGACCAGGTCAGGGCCGGTGGTTCATCTCGCTGGGTAGCCTCTAACCCTAGAACCCGGGAAATGTTAACCGGTGTGCGTAGCAGCTCAGAGGGGCGTGCGTATTTCCTGGCTTAGAGCTCTGAGATCTAAGATGGCAAGTGTCTCTGCCTTTAGCTAGAATTCTTTCACCTCCTGCCGAGGGACCCCTGGCATTTCTCTACTGATCAGAAGAAACAGGGCAGGGAAACAAACTTTTCTACCAGTCTGACTGGTAGAAAGAAGTATTTGAAAATTGGGGGTATCAGCAAATAGATAATAAGAGGTTCCCTAGGTTGGAAAAGCAGATTCCCTTGGCTTTGTTGATGGTATTTTTGGCTTAGATTTCTGCTCCCAGCTTTAAAGGTAAAGTCCTGATTCAGCTCTGTAAGCCATAGAACCCTAGAAACAGGAAATGCTTGCTAAATCAGGGGCCTGGCAGCTGGCTTCTTCCTGGGAAGTGGGGTCCTTTCCTTCCCCCATGGCTTATCATTGGACGCAACTGGCTTGCCTTTGTGGGCCTGTCTGCGGTGAGTGCCTTGGTCTAGAAGAGTCAGTTTGTGGTTTCACAACTGGCTGGGCTGACCAGATGTTGCAAGGACACAGAAAGTGGACACTCAGTCCCCTGGAGGGCACAATCTAAGGCATGTTAAACCTTAACCTGTGATGGCGAACAACCCTTTCTGGAGACAGAGCCCTCCCTCTGCCCGCCTCAAACACTTTGCCCTCAGCAGATGTGTCCTCCTTCACCTTTCCTGGGAGCACAAATCCATTAGAAACATTTGTGAGAGGCTGGCACACCCCAGTAGGGTGCTCTGACTTGCTTTCTCAGGGGGATCGAATTAATGTCCCTTAGAGTGTGGCTCGGCCCTTTCAGACACCATGTCCTGCTGTTTGAACATCGGAATGTGCAGGGCAGCTGCTACAGATGTCTGGGAGAGAGAGCCCCATCCCGCTGTCATCTCACAGAGCGCTGGCGGGGGAGAGTTGGCCCCTTTGGCATTCCAGCTGAACAAGCCTCATCTGGAGCTTTCTCTGCAGGCACGTGGACATTCCATCGGTGATGGCCGCCTTGCCCGGCAAGAGTAGTTGCCAAGGCAAAACCTCCCTTCCCCCCATGTCAGCAGCCAGCACTTCCTAATTTGAGTGGAACAACAGTGAATCCAGCCATCACTTGTTCATTTTTTTATTCAGCGAATGCTTACGGACCCCAACTCTTATCCAGACCTTGCCTGGGCTGGGAGTTGGGGATCAAAGACACAGAAGACATCTTCCCTCCATTTCTGGTTGCTCATGGACTAGTAAGATGTATAGGGGTGCTCTCTGTGAAGGCAGGGCTGGTGGCCTCTGAGGACGGGATTGTAGTAGTGTGGAGCTGCTTTGCCGAGTGCCTTGTTAAAGTCCCTGGGGTCTGGCCCTGCTGCTGCCTCCTGGCCTCCACTCTCTCCGGCATGGTACCGAGAAGATGCTCTGTAAACGTTTGCGGCATGAATAGTGTCTATCCTGTGTCTGTTCTTGTGGGGAGAGATTCACAGATATTAATTGAATTCTCGCAATAAACCGACTGTGAAGTTATTGTTCCCATTCTACAGATGAGGAAACGGAGGTCCAGAGAGGCAAAACATCATGCTCCAGATCTTACAGCCAGTAGGAGGCAGATATGGGGTTGATCCCCACATCTGTCAGCCTCCCAATCCCATACTTACCCCTGTATGTCAGGCTGAGAGTTGGGTAATGCTTTCCTTTGGACAACTTTATATCAGATATAACCAGCTGTTATAAAACAGGGACAATACACATTCATTCTCTGGAAGTCAGGCACATGGAGTCTCCCTCCTTAGTTTGTTTCCCTGAAGTTGCAGATGGGAAACTGATGCATAGACAGGACCAGGGACTTGTCCACGATGGTAAGATGGTGAACGAGGGAGCAGACTTGGAGCCCGGGAATCCTGGATCCGACCTGCAAGCCCCCTCTAGTTTCGTGCTGAAGAAAATAACTCCCAAGGTTGAAAGTAGAGGGAATCACCCTCTCAGACTTTTCCTGGGTCCTCAGGTCATAGTTTGAAGCACAAGGGCGGTAACTCACTACCCGGTGCTTCTGGGCTCGTTTGCATTTGAGGCAGCAGGCAGCCGCGCTTGTGACCCCATTTTGGAGGTTGCTCGGCGGAGGCGGCTCCTTCTTGCCTTTGGCTGGGTGTGGGGACCAGGGTCAGAGATGTGGCCCAAGGGTCTGTCCTGCACATTCCCTGAGTGGAAAGCCACCTGGATCCGGATGGTTCAGGTCTTTGCCTACTGCAGATTTGCCATTTTCAGGAGGGAAGACTGAGGCCCAGGGAGCTGGCAGTGGGGCTGAGCATGAGTAGCTAAGCTCTCCAGGCAGCCTCCTCTAGGATAGGCTCTGCTGGGACCTCAGATGAGTGTGTCTGTGGTTTACCCTCATCCCAAGAGCTGACATGCATGGAGGAATGGCCATCTTTTCTCAGCCCACCCAAATGAGCAGCCAGTGGACATAAGACCAGCCAATAATCCCACCACTAAGCTCACCAGCACTGAAATGGCCAAGCTGGTCGTTCGGGAAAGCTGGAAGCCTAGCTTAGGACAGAGCCCCAGGAAGCTGAGTCTGAGACATGCCCTCTGGTTCTTTGTTGACCAGCAAAGCTCAGGGTTGTGGGGACAAAGACCAGACCTTACAAATATTTAAGACAACTTTGCTGATGCTGGGATTTTATGGTGCAGAAAGGAACTTCCCCTGGAGGTTCTGAGCAGTCTGGCTTCCTGCAGCTCCCTTACAACCTGACCTCTCCTCCATTTGAGCCACAACAGAGCTGATTAATCCAAGCCGCCTGGCCCTCAGCACTGTGTGCTGGGCACTCACTCTTCACTGCATAGCCAAATTACCCTGAGCCAAGGCCTAGGTTAAACCTGGAAAATAATCCAACCTCCTGGTGAGGTGGTGAGCTCCTCATCACCAGAGGCATTTATATAATGCCTGGGGAACTTTACAGGGGACTTTGCCCAGGTAAGTGGCTGGGACCAGACTGGCTGCTCTTCCTCAAGTCCAAGGGATATTTGATTTATTTCCCATTCAGGGAACACAGATTCTTTTTCCTTTTAGTCCTGGCAGCAGAGATGGCACAAGGGAGCTGGGGCAGGATGCTGAGGATGTGGTTCGTCAGTCCACTGTGCATACAGGGCCATCTAAAGGGGGACCCCTGGGGTCATCAGTAGACAGGCTTTCGGAGTAAATGAGCCAAGCCCAGCCAGGGGCTTTTTCTGGTGCTGACTATGTCCTCATCCTCCCAGCTAAGACCGAGGATAGGCGTGGCTATTGGCGAGCAGATCCTGGACCTCAGCGTCATCAAGCATCTCTTCACTGGACCTGTCCTCTCCAAACACCAGGATGTCTTCAGTGAGGTAAGACATTGTGAAACGGGCCAGGCGCGGTGACTCACACCTGTACTCCCAGCACTTTGGAGGCCGAGGTGGGTCAGGAGTTCGAGACCAGCCTGACCAATATTGTGAAACCCCGTCTCTACTAAAAATATAAAAGTTAGCCAGGCATGGTGGCGGGTGCCTGTAATCTCAGCTACTCAGGAGGCTGAGTCAGGAGAATCACTTGAACCTGGGAGGCGGAAGTTGCAGGGAGCTGAGATATCATGCCATTGTACTCCAGCCTGGGTGACACAGCGAGACTGCATCTCATAAAAAATAAACAAATAAATAAAACAGCTTGTTCCTGACCTCAGTTGCACTTACTGTGGATGCCAACAAGAAAATGCTCCTTGTGTTCCATTTCCAACAGAGGTCATGCCATTGGAGGTCTTAGAGATTATACTTGGATAAGGCTAAGGTTGTTTTGAGACAGACGAGCTAGCAGGAGGTGGCCTTGGGACAACTCAGGGCGGCTTCTCACCTCTGGGCGAGTTCCTAGGTGAAAAAATTATTGGAGTCTGCAGTTCTGGATCGTTCCTACTTGTCTCTGAGATGAAGCTCTTCAGGAGCTCTCGTTACTTTCCTTGCCAAGCTGTTTGAGCCTCTGCCTGTCCAAGGCCTGTGAGGGCCCCCGAGGGAGGGAGCTACGAACCCTGGTCTCCAGTTCTGCAGAAGCAGCCAGGGAGGAGTCAGCCCTGAAGGACATGTTCACAAGGGATGGGCACGAATTCGCTTCCCTGTAAATGGTCCGCTACTTTGACAGAGCGTCTTCTCATTGCATGGGTCAGGAAGGAGGGTGGGATTTATGGGTACCTCTGGTGTCCCAGGAGCTTCATACACATTCTCTCCTTCAATCCTCCCAACCACCCTCTGGCATAGGAATTGGAATTCCTATGGAGACCTGAGCCTCCAGATGGGGACCTGAACTTCTGGAATGAGACACGGTTTCCCCAAACTGCACAGCTAGAAGTTTCAGAGCTGAGGCTGGAACTCTGACTCTTAGAACCTACAAGGGCTTTTTCTGCTATGCCTCACTGGCTGCAAAGCCTCTTCTTTTTTTAAATTAAAAAACCTCTTATACTCAGCTGGTCATCATCAGCGTCATCTGTGCCCTTGTCTAGTTTCTAAACTAGGAGAGAGTTCCTTTATGGTGACAAGCATCTCAGGTGCATGTCACCATGGCTAAGTTTTGCATTTTTAGTGGAAGTACGGTTTTGCCATGCTGCCCAGGCTGGTCTCAAACTCCTGAGCTCAAGTGACCTGTTGGTCTCAGTCTCCCAAAGTGCTGGGATTAAAGGCATGAGCCACCACATCCAGCCTGTTAAAAAAAAAATTTACAGAGGCTGGGCATGGTGGTTCCCACCTGTAACCCCAGCACTTTGGGAGGCCGAGGCAGGCGGATCACTTGAGGTCAGGAGTTCGAGACCAGTCTGGCCAACATGGTAAAACCCCCTCTGTATTAAAAATACAAAAATTAGCTGGGTGTGGTGGTGCACGCCTGTAATCCCAGCTACTTGGGAGGCTGAGGCAGTAGAATTGCTTGAACCCAGGAAGCAGAGGTTGCAGTGAGCTGAGATCACATCAGTGTACTCCAGCCTGGATGACAGAGTGGGAAACATTTTTTTAATAGAGATGAAGTCTTACTATGTTACCCAGGCTGGTCTTGAACTCCTGGGCTCAAGTGATCCTCCACTTCGGCCGCCCATTGTGCTGGGATTCCAGACGTGAGCCATCACACCTGGCCCCAAACCTCTTCTTAACTGATGTGAAATGACTTAGTTTGAACTGGATCACTCTGCAGGCGAGAGTGCGCTTCTCTTGGAAGGACATGGTCACCTTCCACTGTGGGCGGGGCCAAGCTTAGCACGGTTGCTGTGCCCGGTAGCAGCTCTCGGGCTTGGACAGTTGGTGCAGGTGCATGAGGGCATGAGGCAACATCAAGAGAGTGTATGCTTTTCTCCAGCTTGATGGACAGACGACAAAACTAAGAGCAGAGGTGCTGAGAGTGTGAGTCAACGGGAGAGACGGGGCGGGGGCTGGCCGGCTCCGGGCCTCCCATTGGCAGGAGGGATCCTTTCCAAGCTTTCCTGTGCGTGATCCTTCTCCCTGTTTTGGTCTTAGCCTACGCTCAACAGCTTCATGGGCCTGGGGCAGGCTGCCTGGAAGGAGGCGAGAGTGTTCTTGCAGAACTTGCTGTCTGTGAGCCAAGCCAGGCTCAGAGATGACACGGAACTTCGGAAGCGGTGAGAAGCATATGGTCATTGGCGGGGAGGAGGGGCTGCAGCAGGGGAGATGAGGACTGTGCGCTGATCAGTGCCATTCTGCGTCATGGCTTGGCAACCTTGGTGTGGCCAAGTCAGACCGGCCCCATCCAGCCCCTGCCTGGGCCAGATATCGATAGGAGGGCGCAGGGAGCACTCGGACTGCCCCTGCCTGGGCTGGATATCGATGGGAGGGCGCAGAAAGCACTCGGATTGCCCCTGCCTGGGCCAGATATCGATGGGAGGGTGCAGGGAGCACTCGGATTGCCCCTGCCTGGGCTAGATATCGATGGGAGGGCGCAGGGAGCACTCGGATTGCCCCTGCCTGGGCTAGATATCGATGGGAGGGCGCAGAAAGCACTCGGATTGCCCCTGCCTGGGCCAGATATCGATGGGAGGGTGCAGGGAGCACTCGGATTGCCCCTGCCTGGGCTAGATATCGATGGGAGGGCGCAGGGAGCACTCGGATTGCCTGGGTGCCTGGGCTGGAGCTGCCCAAGCTAGGCCAGGCCGGCCCGCTGGCCCTCTCTGTTACTCAGCCAGCCATCATCAGTGTCCTCTGCGCCCTCATCTGGTTTCTACAGTAGGAAAGAGTTCCCACTTGTCTAGTCCCATTTGTTAGGGTAGAATATAGAAACGGCTTCAGTGGGCGGATGCCCTCTCAGCTGTGAAAGGCTCAGCGTAGCTCTGGCCCTAGGCCAGCCTGGAGGTGCCCACTGGAGATTGCTGATCATCTTGGGGATGGTCAGCACTGAGCCTGTGGGTGGGACCGCGCTTTGCCGCCTGCTTGACTTCGAAGCCCCTGGTTCTGTGTTTCAGTGCATTCGTCTCCCAGGCGTCTGCCACGATGCACCTTCCAGCCGCCATAGGTGAGTGCAGTCTCTTCAGCAAGATGAGAACGGAGCAGCTTTGTGGGCCAAGAGGGCTGGCCAGGTGCTTTGGTGCTGCCTCTGGGTGGAGGTCCCTCCTGGGGGAGGAGATGGAGGAGGGGCCCTGGGGCTGCTACTGCCTCCTGTCACTGACCTTTCTCAGCACTCAGGCCGGATCTTGCCGCAGGTGGTGAGTTGCAGGCTGCTCAAGTTCATGACTAGCTACAAGGCTCCCTGCACAGCAAACTGCTCTCCTTCCCCTCAAAGGCTATGGGACAAGTTCTCCGAGCTCAGTCTGTGAGTCAGCAGTTTTGAGGAAAGAGGCCAGAGGGCTGTGAAGGGCCGGCCCCGTTTTGAGCACGTGGCAGGATGTCTGGCTGGAGCGTCATTCAGGAAGTTGGAGCTGTTGAAACTCAGCCTGAAGCAGAGAGAGACCGGCTCAGCCCAAAGCACAGCCCTCCTCCTTGTGCACACGCCTCCTCTGCTGGGTCACCTGGGCACCTGTGAGCTGAGGAAGGGGCTGACCCTCCCCTGGGGTACACTGCCTCTCTGGGAGAGTCCTCTGCTGCTTGGCTGCTTCAGCTAAATTGGCTGGAGGATGGGGTTAGGGACAGGAGCCCAGTCACCTGCCTCCTCCCAGCCCCTCTCACTCCCCCATCTCATGCGTTCATGGGACTGTGCTATTTTTTGGCAAACCATCTGCTGCACAAAACAGATGTCTTTCAGAGATTCCTCATCATGTCTGGTTGACCGATGGTGCCTTTCTATTTTTTTTTTTTGTGATGGATTTATTCTTTTGAAAAATCTCTCTGCTATTACTTCTGCGCATTGGGATGAAAGATGGGAAACGGCAGCGAAGGCTTCACCTGCCCCATGGATTTTTTTTTCTCTCTGCATCCTTCACCAGGACGATTGCTAGTCTAGGCTGTTGATATTGGTGAATACCCAGCTGTTTTTTTGTTTTGTTTTGTTTTGTTTAGATGGGGTTTCACCATGATGGCCAGGCTGGTCTTGAAGTCCTGACCTCAGGTGATCCACCCACCTTGGCCTCCCAAAGTGCTAGGATTACAGGCGTGAGCCACCGCGCCCAGCCCTGTTTTTTGTTTTTTTGAGAAGAGATTTAGGAAGATAAAACAGGCAGACTGTCCCAGCTGGTTTCTCTTGCAGATATTTTTTTTTTTTTTTTTTTTTTTTTTTTTGAGACGGAGTTTCGCTCTTGTTACCCAGGCTGGAGTGCAATGGCGCGATCTCGGCTCACTGCAACCTCCGCCTCCTGGGTTCAGGCAATTCTCCTGCCTCAGCCTCCTGAGTAGCTGGGATTACAGGCACGCGCCACCATGCCCAGCTAATTTTTTGTATTTTTAGTAGAGACGGGGTTTCACCATGTTGACCAGGATGGTCTCGATCTCTTGACCTCGTGATCCACCCGCCTTGGCCTCCCAAAGTGCTGGGATTACAGGCTTGAGCCACTGCGCCCGGCCATCTCTTGCAGATTTTTAATTCTCCAAATGGTAGATGATGCCTACAGCTTGCTGGCCACCCGGTTCAGTTCATCATAATCCACAGGCACTGATTAGCATCTGCAGCCTGCAAGTCCTTGTCCTTGGTACTGGGGCAGAGTCTAAGAAATGAGGACTGGGCTGGGGCTGTCCTGGAAGAGCCACAGGCCAGCAGAGGTGTGCACACATGTAACCTGAGCACCCGTGTGAAGCGAAGCCTGCCCCAGAAGGATTCAGGGAGGGGATTTGGAGGGGGCAGAGATCCTGCTAGAGAGAGCAGGGAGGGCTTCAGGGAGGAGGGGCCCTCAAAGAATTGCCAGGATTTGAATACACAGGGACAAGGGAGAAGTCGGTCAGCACAGGCATGGTGAGGGAGCCTGTGGGGACTTGGGAATGGCAGTTGTGTGGGGTAAAAGTCGGGAGCCTGAGAAGGGGGGTGGAGTCAGCCACTTGGTGTTCACATTCCACTGTCAGTTTCAGAAAGTTTAGACTCCTGACTTCTTGTTTCCCAGTTGAGGGCTCTAAAAACAAATCTTCGGTGAAGATATTGTATGTTGCATTTGGTGCTGTCACTGCTGAGTAGTGGATGCAGGCTGGGCTCCGGGATGTGTAAACACTATTGTGTGCACACTCATGGCTCCTGTGCTTGGAAGAGTCCGTTCTCCTTCCTGAGGCATCTGGGTTGCTGATGGGATCTCTTGGGTCTTTGCTCTGCAGGAGACTACACAGACTTCTATTCCTCACGGCAGCACGCTACCAACATCGGAGTCATGTTCAGAGGCAAGGAGAATGCATTGATGCCAAACTGGTATGTCCCCAGGCAGATGTTTGCATAAGTTCAAAGTCTGCCTTTTCTTTTCTACCAGCATGTTTATCTCAGGAGCTGCCAAGTTCTTCTTAAAGTAAACAGGGGAGGAAAAGCAGTTATAATGTTGCAACCTCTGGAAGCCTCGGCCTCGGCTTCTGGTCTCCTGCTCAGCTTGGCTCCGTACCTGCTGTGTGGTCGAAGGCCAAGTCCCTTAAGCTCCTTTGGACAGCAGGGGTTGGAATTGGATTCCCTGAATCACTATGCTGCTTCTGGAGTCTTTCATTTATAAGCTGTGTATATTGTACTGTGGGCAAGTCTTAGACTCTGGCATGTTCCAGACTTACATTTTCTGAGGAATGAGAATCCTCAATGTGCTCAGTGCTGCAAAATCCTCAACATGTGATCCATTTCGTTCATCTGTTCGATCCTCCTAGTAGTTCTGTGATGTCACAAGGCCATGATTGTAAGCCCCATTTTACAGACGGGGAAATGGGCTCAGAGAAGGATCAGCTTTCCTGAGCACGACAGGACCAAAGCCTGTCTCCCAGCCCCCAGATCCGGCTGTTGACCAAGCTGAGGTTGCAGAGCCGGGCTCCTTGCCCTTTGTTCCGTGTTGTGCCCTGAATGTGACGGTTCCTTGGAACTGAAGAGGGCCTGGACACAGAGGAGGGCATACGCCCCAGGCCCGGTGCCGCCAGCCACACACAGGAGCTGGGGCAGGGACAGGGCTTTACTCTCTCTCGAGTGTTTCCAGGAGGCTATGCCATGACAGGAAGGGCCTGTTAGAGCCAAGATGAAGCAGAAGGAAAGGGAGAGAGAGAGTTCCAAGCCAGAGATACTGAGAAACAATGCCAAGGTTGCAGAACAAGGTGAATCTGAGACCAGAGCCCAGGCTCCAGGTTCCAGGCTTCCACGTGAGACAGGCAAATATTAGAGACTCTTGCCCTGTACACGTTTCAGGCTGTAATTTCCCCAGCCAGCTTCAACCTGTTTATCTGTGTGTCCTTGGTGGTGATGACCCGGTGGACTGCCCAGCCCCAGAAGAGATGGCTGTCATCCGTGTGCCACCATCCCAGCAGCCAGTGGGCAGGGGCACCAGGAAGTGAGAGGAGAGCTGGGACCTGGGAAATGAGCGTTGACTGTCTGAAACCGAGTGTGGGGTCCGCAGCCATCCCTGCCCCCGGTCCTTCTGCAGAATAAGAGCAAACAGGCCTTCTCTAGCCATGTTTCATGCAAGATGGCCTGCAGCTGTGACTTTTTACCTCCTTTGATAAAGGTTATGTAGCCTTTAGTATAAAGGTAACATACGTTTATTGGAATTAACCCAAACACTACAGAAAATGTGTAAAGTAAAGCATTTACAATTTAAAATGTGTCTACATTTGACCGGCAATGCTTACTTTCCTGCATGAATCCTACAGAAATAAAAGCACCAGTGGGTTCTGTCCAAGAGCAAGCATGTTAATTAACAGAGTTTCTAGTGGCCCAGAGCTGGCAGTCATCAGAATGCTTATTGGTGGAGGAATGGTTGAAAAATTGGTCTCTTCACAATATGAAATGTTTTGTAGCTACTGAAAGATTTAAATCAAGCGAGATGTGCACTGATCTATGTTAAGTGAAACAGGTAAGCTATAGGCCGTTATGTAAAGTGTGTCTCACTTTTGTGAAAGGACAAGGAATATATATGCACATACACACTGTATTAGTTTTCTGTTGCTGCTGTAACAAATTACCACAGACGTGGTGGCTTAAAACACAAATATATTCTCTTCTAGTTCTGGAGGCCGGAAGTCTGAAGTCAGTCTCACTGGCCAAAGTCAAGGTGTCCACAGGGCTGTTTCCTTCTGGAGGTTCTAGGAGAGAACCCATTTCCTTGGCTTTTCAGCTTTAGAGGTTGCCTATATCCCTTGGCTTTTGGCCCCTTCCTCACATCACTCCAACCACTTGCTTCCACTGTTAACTTCCTGCTTCCTCTGTTAATCTCCCGCTTCCTCCTTTGACCTTGCCTCTGACTTATGAGGACCCTTGTGATGACATTTAGGGCTCACCCAAATAACCAGGGACAGCATCCCTATCTCAAGATTCCTAACTTAATCCCATCTGCAAAACCCTTTTTGGCATGTAATAATATCCACAGGGTCCAGGGATTAGGATCTGGATCTCTTTTGGAGGGCCATTTTTCAGCTTAACACACACTCACACACACAGGCACACGCTTATACATACATTATTTCCATAGGCTGATCTGAGCATAGAGAAAATTAGACTCCAGATGAACATTGCTTTCCTCAGGGGAGTGGCTGGATGGGGAGAGAGTACTAACTCCTTTTTTCATCTGAATTGTTTAAATTATTACATGCCGTGTCATTGCATGCAATTGAATTTTATAATTTAATCCAGTAAGGGAACCAAAGTGGGTAAAAAAGGGAGCTCTTCCTCAGCCACTCGCCAGAGGCAACAACTTTGAGCAAGCCGGATGTGCCGCCGCCTGTACGTTGCTCAGGATACACGTGCCTGCCCACATGTATGCGCACGTGGATGTGATTTTATTTCCGTAGTTAATGAAACGAGACTATGCTGAAATGTGCTTTCTCACTTCATCATTGACATCACTGACATATCACCATGTAAATAAGTTTAAGTCTGCCTCAGTCTTCTACAAAATAAATTTTTGGGGGTAGGTACTACAAGCCAAATACACAGCAAAATAGCATTTTTATAAAAAGATACAAAAATATGGCTGGGCGCGGTGGCTCACGCCTGTAATCCCCACACTTTGGGAGGCTGAGGTGGGCAGATCATGAGGTCAAGAGATCGAGACCATCCTGGCCAACATGGTAAAACCCCATCCCTACTAAAAATACAAAAAATAGCCGGTCATGGTGGCACATGCCTGTGGTCCCAGCTACTTGGGAGGCTGAGGCAGAAGAATCGCTTGAACCCAGGAGGCGGAGGTTGCAAAGAGCTGAGATTGCGCCACTGCACTCCAGCCTGGCGACAGAGCAGGACTCCGTCTCAAAAAAAAAAAAAAAAACCACAACACAAAAAAAAAAAAAAAAAAAAAAAAACAGCAACCCAAAAAAAAAAAAAAAAAAAAAAAAACCACAACACAAAAATATGGTACAGTAATAAAAGTATATAGAAATATAGGGAATTGAGGACCATGCGGGTTTCCTCGAGGGTGAGGGGCAGGAAAGGAAGGAAGGAGAGTGAGACAGGGAGCGGTCCCAAGGATGCGTTGCGCTGCATTAGCCAAGTGTTACTTCTTTAGCTCCTTGGCGGCACTTGTGTTATTACATGTTTTTGTATGTCATAAATATTGCAAGATAATTTATCAAACATTAAAAGAAATTAAAAGCAAGAAAAAGAGTTAATATATATACATGGTTGAGAATTCAAAAGCTACTTAAGGGTAAACAGTGGGAAAAAACAGAATTCAGCCACCTGTGGGCCACCATGCAGTTCCCTTCTCCAGAGGCAAAACCGTTTGGTAATCGGTGACATATACATATTTTCTTTTTCTTCTTCTTTTTCTTTTTCTGAGACAGAGTCTCACTCGGTCACTCCGGCTGGAGTGCAGTGACATGATGTTTGTTCTCTGCAGCCTTGACCTCCCAGGTTGAAGCCATCCTCCTGCCTCAGCCCCCTGAGTAGCTGGGACTAAAGGCATGTGCCACCACGCCTGGCTAATTTTTGTATTTTTTGTAGAGATGGGGTTTTGCCCTGTTGACCGGGGCTGATCTCAAACTCGTGGACGCAAAAGCGATCCGCCTGCCTTGGCCCCCCAGATTGCTGGGAGTACAGGTGGGAGCCACCGTGCCTGGCCTTCTTATATATGTTTTCACAGGTGTTTTTACATACTCTGCCAGTTTAATCTATGCAGTCATTTCTCTATTATTAGTTTAAAAGAGTGTTTTATAAGTCATAGAAATTAACCCTCTGTTGCAACGCCTTGCAGATATTTCCCCACAGTTTATCATCTTTTTTCGTTGCCAGTCTTTCTAGATACAGAGTTTTGCATTTTTATAAAGTCAAACATGTCAATCATTTTCCTTATGGCATTTACTTTTAGTCAATGTTGAGAAAGGCTTTTTCCACCCCAAGAATTTGGAAGTTTTTTGTGGGTTTTTTTTCTAGTGCTTGTACCAGCCTTTCTTTGTACATTTACATCTTGAATCCATCTGGATTTCCTTTCACGTGTGAGGTGTGGTGTGGGTCTGTATCCATTTCCTGGGGCTGCTAGAAGAAAACGCCACAACAACAGGAATTTATCCCTTCAGTTCTGGAGGCCATAAATGTGCAATCAGGGTGTCACCAGGGGCGTCTCTCCCTGAAGCTTCTAGATGACCGTCCCTGTCCTTGTTGGTTCCAGCTTCCGGGGGCTGCAGGCATGCCTTGTGGCTGCGTCACTTCAGCCTCTGCCTCTCCTCCATGTTCACGTGGCCTCTTCCTTCTCCTATGTCT